TGATATATTTTATTAAGATAACGATTATATAAGCATTTACGAATAACATTGTGAAGAAAGAGACGATTTTAATCCAGAAATTATTTAATTATTTATTACTTAATGACTTGGTTGCGGCAACGCAAGACATAAGAGATCTGCTCACGAAGGATCTGCATTCAGGAAAACTGGGAATCTGGACCCTACATTGGTGTTAATAATATGAAGGAAACCCGGTAAACTCCACATGGCCAGCCCGTTGGCCGTGCCGGATTCCATGATCGACTTCTGGGCTTCGCTGGTTTGATGCAGTAGTCTTTCTTAATATTAATGTGAACATTTAGAATTAAGAAAGTGTCATTCAGATATGTAATAACTCGAGTAGTTAGTTGTGGAAACTTAAATACTTGCAGACTTTTCACAAGGTAACACTTTCGATTGCACGTAGTAAGTGCTATATGTCATTTGTCTTCGTAATGATATAGCACGTTATTGTGCGCAAAATCATCGTCACAGTAATTTAATGAATAAATATTAAATTATTAAATTATATATTTNCGCGCTCCGAAAGATTTCGAATTGTTACCCGAAAAAAAGCGAAAATCAATCGGTATTCGTTATTTTCCGTCGCTTCATTTTGTGTTTGTTGAGTAAAGTGTTCGTTATCCGATCATAAAAATCTTTCGCGAAAGTGTTCGTTATCCGATTTGTTCGTTAATCGAACTGTTCTTTAACCAATCACCCAGTGTACTTCTTAGATGGATTTTCCAAAATCGGGTAGATATAGAAATGACCACAAAAACAATGAACGGTCAATTATTTTTCAAACTTAAGGTTCTAATACAGAGTTCGCAGAGGATGCCAAAAAGCATCTGCATGGTGTCAGGGGTAGTTATGACAAGTCGCCCTTATTCTACTATTGTCAGCTTGTGATCTCAGCTACCCTTCAGATAATTTGTTCGTGTAGTTTAAAATCTAATTTTGTTTTTGATTTCTTTCGTTTCCCACCTCCATCGTCTTCTCTTTCAATTGTCGCTTGCGATTTATATATGTGGACTTTCTATAATTCTCACAAGATCATGGGTCTTGTGAGAATTCGGGTTTTTCGAGAACAGGGAGGAGGAACCATTTCTCACAAACCTCCAGGCTGTTGATTTAACTTATAGTATTTCTCTCTTTACACAAGCTCAACAATAGGCAGGTACCTATCTAACACGGTAAACCTGGGTTCCACGTACAAGATTTTGTAAGAACACCCCACTATTTCGTAAGGTCCCTTGACCGAATTTTTGTTCATGGCAATAACGGCGGCACAATCGACAGACATCTATCAATTAAATCCTGAAACGGTATGTCTCTTTTAACCATATACAACAATAATGTGTAAATTAGTAGACGTTATCACTGATGTATTGGAACCATTCTTATCTCATTGTATTACCATTTGACACCTTTCCATAGTTTATAATCTCTTCGTCTGATTCAAGTTCTCCGTAAAATCCAAATATCGTAACAATCATTGACTTGTAACGATATTCGATCGCGGTTATATATCGGTCACAAGGTCAACGGAAAAACAAAGCGGTGAAAAAGAAAATAAATTTTTTCCATTTAGCAACGAACGGCGTACTAATTTAATTAATTTCCTTAATTTCTTTATTGCTTCCCTCAGAATCTCACATTTATAAAAACAACCACAACGCATTGTGGCTAATTCAGCACAAAGCGAAATTTTATTTTGCATGTTTACAATTAGATTTAAATTCGATAAATATTGGCAATCATATTACCAGAATGCGGGTGAATGGTACTTAGATAAGTTTAATAGCCTTTTGTAAGTACAAATAATTTAATTCAATCTCAGTGTGCGAAAAATGTTGGACATGTTGTCTTCATTCTACAAAGTAGAATAAGGACGTAAAATTTTATTCTATCTAAAGGTCCATTTACACAGAACAGTGATGAGCCGGTCACTGTTCTGTGACCGGCTCGTCACTGGACAGGGTAGTTAAATTAATTAAACTACCCTGTCCAGACTCGTCTGTCACAGTTTAACAGTGCTGTGCAGTGTGAAAGTACATTTGACGGAAACGATATTTTCACTGACGGTAAATTTTATTTTCCAATGGATAACGAACATTTAATTGAAATGGTGTATAAACACACTGTTCTATTTGATTTATCTCATTCGAAATTCATAGACATTGAATACAAAATGAATATTTCTCTGTTTTGTTTCAAGAAAAACTTCAATGAAAAACAAATATTCTTTTATTATTAACGAATTTTTAATAAATAAAAATTTCTTCTAGAAAAATGATATTTGGCGANGAGGGTGCACCGTTCGACGACGCCATTGCTTAAGCTTGTTTTCGTAGTAGAGCGGCGGATCGAACAGCCGCCACGTGTTTCCTGATAAATTTTTTTTTGCGAAAAATTCGCTGAGCTTTGGAGACATCATTAATATAAAAATAATTTTTATGGCCGTTAAATAATAAATAGTTTTTAGTAGGTCCACTGCTCGTTTAAACTCAACGGTTTGTGCAATATTTGCTATTGGTCTAGATTCGACCAATCCTGTCGCGACACGAGTCGGCATGACATTTTACCGTATTATATGAGTTTTTTAGCGTATTTATACGAATACGGTCGGAATTTTTCGCCGTGTTATACGAATCCGTGTTATTTGAACTTGTTTTATAGGGAGGTCTACTGTATATTAATTTTAAAAATTACATTCAGTTTATTATAATCTTAAACTTTTTCGAATAGATGACGCTTTGTGGAAAATCTAGCAAATGGTAAACAGGCAAAAATTAATTGATATATATAAATTTACTGTAAATTTTGAAAAGATACTTACGACATTATCTAACCGAGAAGCATATACATGTACAGTACCTACGGAATTCCTTAACAATTGGTAAAACGGACTAAGTGTGCATAGATAACAAAATAGCAAGCGAACAAAATTCCTCATTGACATATGTTAGGCTCAAAGAACGAAAACGCTCATTTTGCGAAAAAAATAACCACAATTCGAAATTGTCGTTGTGGCTTTTATGATATTTGACCACTACTCGTTGTAGTGATTAAGAAAGGCATTCTTATCGATAGCTGATGCAACTAAATATGTGACAAAACGATTCACCACATACAGAAATGTAACTTGGATACTTTTCAACAACATTTAATCATTCGTGGAAATCTGTTGCAATGCTCTAGATGTCAACATTTTCAAACAACTAATTTACTAAAAATAATTACTTCATCAGGAACTTTTATTAAATCAGTGTTGAAATGGTGGATTTTGAACTTAGATCAATGTAACATGCAAATTTATATATTCTCCCATGCATCCATGCGAAAATCTGTAATAAAAGAAAAATGTAACTTGGATCAGTATGGTTACACTGACCCCATTTTTGAAATTTTAAAATATTAGTCAATAAAAATAATCACATATTTTTCTCAAGATCTATAGCAATTTCAATGAAATAAACTGATTTTCGAACGTGCACTCCTCCAAAATTATAAATTAAAAAGCTTTGTTTTATTGTTGTAATATTAATATTGTTTCAATATCTGTGATAAATTGTGATTCATAATTAAATTCAATATTCTCAAAGAATTCCGAATTTATCTCCGACAAATGCTGGATTTGATGAAAACATTGAGAAGATCTCCAACCAGTGGACAAGTGGTTCCAATCTCCGAACACGAATTTCCGTCGTGGGTTCTCGCATCGCCCGGATGGGCTGGCGACGTGGAATTTTCTCCACGTCTGTAACGCATGAATGGGGCCAGTTAGTTTTAAAAGCCCTTCGGTAAGGCATTATTCCCGGCGTAACGACCATCATGAACGCATGCAACTGGTGTTACGTAACAATTACGTCCCACTTTACCACGGGGCGATAGAGCCTACAAGCTCATGCCCGTAAATGAAAGATTTGTAATTAGAGTAAGTGATGACGGTTATCACAAATATTTAAAAGTTTATGTAAATTATTTAAGGATTTAAATTGTCTTCAGATGATCAACGCAGTTTATCTTTGCTTGTAAGCACTCACATTTATAGGTACTCGCAATCAATGCAAAGTGACAAATAAAATTAAAACTTATGTAAATAATACGAGTAATTAATGCCGCTTTCTTGTGACTTCTTTAGTTACGTACGCAATTTCTAGCAGATAGCATTATAAACATCTGGTAAAGTCTTTAAAAAACTCTCGAAAGAAGTAGATGGAACCAAACACTTTATATATGTTTGAATCCTGTACAATTCTTCAATCAATGTACGGTTAAATATTTCAAAATAAAATTCATTAATATTATGAAAAGTTTCAACAACGTAGAAAATGATAGAAATTCAACGAATTCGATTAAAGAATCGACCCGAAGCGGAACTCGAACTCGCAACTTCCTCTTTTCTTTTTCTGACTGAAAATTTTATATTAATTAGTGAATATTCTAATCATTAAATTTGATAAAAGATGGTGCCTAACGCTTACGTCTAGTACAAGAATACTTAATAAGTATTCTTGTACTAGACGTAATACTAGTACTAGTTACTTAATAAGTATTCTTGTACTAGACGTAATACGAGTATTAGTACGTTGTACTAGTACTCATTAATAACGGCATTTAATTAGCCCGAATAATTAAGGAGAGCATTTGGTTTAATATATACAGTATTGTATATAAAATCTATAGTCCTTAAGATATCTTTTATGTATAGCAATTTATATTGTAATTTACATGAATAAAATCATTTCTAAAAGATTTTTAAAAATATAAATGTAGACACGCGTTAATTGTGTCAGGTCTTTCGAAATTATCATTAACATCGAGAAAATGAAAATATAATTAAGCTAGCAAAATTCAAAATGTAGGTTCAGTGAGAGAATGATAAACATAAAGTAATTTTTTTATAATTTTTACGCCCTGTGGGCTCTAAGAGGGCCTCTTTTTAGCAAGCCCATTATGGGTTCGGCCAGGCTCACAATGGGAAATATCTCAGATAAAAGTATTACATTTTATTTCAATTAATTGCAATTAACAAGCGTTACAATATTTCTGTTGGTGCACAATAAAAAAAAGTTGCCATTATATTTTACATGTTTTACCGGGAGTACGTGAAATCGGTGTAATTCCGGGCAATCCTTTGCACCAGCATGCAGAATAGGAGCATTTGCCAAAACTACCTCCTTCCTTCTTGCAATTCGTATCGCAATTTTTGTCTCCTGTCTTGTCTATGCATTCGAGTGTGCAGCGCTTTCTCTTGTCAAACAAATAACCATCCTCTGCCAACACAGTTCCTGCAACATATACAAAGAAACAATCTTGTTCAACCGTAAGAAGTAATACTCATTAATACAATAAAATTAAAATACTTAATGCTTTGCACTGAAAATGTATAAAAAAATGTACATTATTATTAATTAATATTTCAGATGAATTATAAAAACGAAAAAACAGTCCTAATTATAAATATGCTATTTTAAACACTAGCGAAATGATGTGTAATTCGTAATTTATCGGCGACTTATCGAGCCAGGAAAACGACATTATAATGAAAAACTTGAGGACGCAATTTCTTCTAAATCTGAATTTATGATGTTATTCTATTAACTGACTTTTCTCAAGTTAACGGATAGATTAACTGCAAATGCTTAGAGAATTCTATAAAACAAATAGCACTAAACTAAAAATATTGTCAACATACTCATACATAAATGAAAACATCACCACTGGTTAAGTAGTAACACCATTAAACTGATTTACTTTACAGATCTAACTTTTAAATAAAAGATTAAAGTACTACAGTAGTAGAGAATAAAGATTAGAATGAGTACTACAGTAGTAGAGAATAAAGATTAGAATGATAGAGATTAGTGACCCGTATAATATCCCCCTTAAGAAAATAGCTTCTTGGCAGATTGCCGTTGAGTTGCATTGCCATCCATCAATGGAATGCAGATCTCATAATACGATTTTTCAAAAAATACAATATAATGTAATAAATGTAACGCGGATTTAATAACTTTCTAATAAATTATAACGATACTAAATTATGCCATTTATAAAATTAATAACCAATTTAATCAATTATAAGTTCATACTCACCGATCAGCATCAAACAAGTAGTGATCGTCAACAACGAGTTCATCTTCGAAGCTGTCTAAATGAGTTTAGAAGCAGTTATCACGAGCAGAAGTCGATATTTATATACATTCAATGATACAGGTACAACGCGTACACGTGGATTCTGCATGCTCGATCCATCTGTTTCCACAAATTATAACAATATTAATAAGCCATTAAACAGAGAGGTCACATTTTTTCAAATTTCTCTATTTGCAGAAAGAATTAAATTTGTACCGATTGCAGAAATGTTCATGTGAACTATAAATGAATGTCATTAAATTTTTTAAAATAAAAATCACTTATTTTACTTTAAGTTGAACAAGTTCTTGGACCTCTTCCCAATCATTTACATATTTTATATTTAGAGGAATGTAATAATATCTCGTGATTTTCTCGTTTGATCGACACTACTGACCTATCCTCTGTTAGGACTTTTTCAAAGTCTGCATACATGAAATATTTCACGTAATTATTGACAAAGATTCTAAAAAACNCATTGATATTTGTATTCGTTTTGTTTTGAATTATTAAATTTACTCTTGTTAAATATACTTAAATGTCTCTTAAATTGATTCCGAATCGGATCTCATACGCGTGTTAATCCGCGTATAATAAGTGCGATTAACTGGTGTCAAGGATTCCTGACGAGCATCTGAACTTCGCCGTTCGGATCACATAGCGGTAATCGCTCTCCTATGAAATATTTGAGATCAGATCTAGTGATCTGCATCCTAGAGAACTAGTCTTACCGACTAGCGCCGATTAAGTGTTACACGAGTACTACCTACTCCGTAACCCCGGCTAATCTCACACAATTTATATTTTAATTTACATGAATAAAATCATTTTTAAAAGATTTTTAAAAATATAAATGTAGACACGCGTTAATTGTGTCAAGTTTTTCGAAATTATCATTAACATCGAGAAAATGAAAATATAATTAAGCTAGCAAAATTCAAAATGTAGGTTCAGTGANTGTGTACGGCATCATTCTGTAAATATCTGCTAGTTACGCTATGTAGATGGTCCAAGTTTAAATCTGTGCTATTGTTGAAGTACGATTTCCTGTAAATAAAAGTATTAGTATTACCCGTATACATTACATTAGTACTGAAAAATACACAATAATACTTATATTTAAAATTTAAATAACGTCATTAAGAACACCGAAACAGAAAGAAAACAGAATATAACAAGTGAAAAGTATCGATAAAATCTGTCTCTTATAAGAATTATCGACGAAAGGACAGATGATGATTGAGATGAAACAAAACAAAACAAGAAGCTACATTTGAAATTGCTGTACAGAGAATCAGTTAGTAAATTTCGGTATGTATTTCATTTTTTTTTTCTTATCTTATTAATATAGAGAATCTATTTATAAGATAAGAAAGAAAGAAATCAAATACATACCTCAATTTACTAACTGGTTTTCCGAACATCAATTTCAAATGTATCTTATTGTTTTGTTTTGCTTCATTTATCAATTACAATTTTTTTTTAAATTTAACATATAAGTTAAAGTAAAAAACATATTATANATGTAGACACGCGTTAATTGTGTCAAGTTTTTCGAAATTATCATTAACATCGAGAAAATGAAAATATAATTAAGCTAGCAAAATTCAAAATGTAGCTTCAGTGAGAGAATGATAAACATAAAGTAATTTTTTTATAATTATAAGTTAAATGACTTCACACGAAAAAAATTCATAGTGAATTTGTATACAGTAAACTGTACATCAAGTAATAAAAAAATCTCAGATAAAAGTATTACATTTTATTTCAATTAATTGCAATTAACAAGCGTTACAATATTTCTGTTGGTGCACAATAAAAAAAAGTTGCCATTATATTTTACATGTTTTACCGGGAGTACGTGAAATCGGTGTAATTCCGGGCAATCCTTTGCACCAGCATGCAGAATAGGAGCATTTGCCAAAACTACCTCCTTCCTTCTTGCAATTCGTATCGCAATTTTTGTCTCCTGTCTTGTCTATGCATTCGAGTGTGCAGCGCTTTCTCTTGTCAAACAAATAACCATCCTCTGCCAACACAGTTCCTGCAACATATACAAAGAAACAATCTTGTTCAACCGTAAGAAGTAATACTCATTAATACAATAAAATTAAAATACTTAATGCTTTGCACTGAAAATGTATAAAAAAATGTACATTATTATTAATTAATATTTCAGATGAATTATAAAAACGAAAAAACAGTCCTAATTATAAATATGCTATTTTAAACACTAGCGAAATGATGTGTAATTCGTAATTTATCGGCGACTTATCGAGCCAGGAAAACGACATTATAATGAAAAACTTGAGGACGCAATTTCTTGTAAATCTGAATTTATGATGTTATTCTATTAACTGACTTTTCTCAAGTTAACGGATAGATTAACTGCAAATGCTTAGAGAATTCTATAAATCAAATAGCACTAAACTAAAAATATTGTCAACATACTCATACATAAATGAAAACATCACCACTGGTTAAGTAGTAACACCATTAAACTGATTTACTTTACAGATCTAACTTTTAAATAAAAGATTAAAGTACTACAGTAGTAGAGAATAAAGATTAGAATGAGTACTACAGTAGTAGAGAATAAAGATTAGAATGATAGAGATTAGTGACCCGTATAATATCCCCCTTAAGAAAATAGCTTCTTGGCAGATTGCCGTTGAGTTGCATTGCCATCCATCAATGGAATGCAGATCTCATAATACGATTTTTCAAAAAATACAATATAATGTAATAAATGTAACGCGGATTTAATAACTTTCTAATAAATTATAACGATACTAAATTATGCCATTTATAAAATTAATAACCAATTTAATCAATTATAAGTTCATACTCACCGATCAGCATCAAACAAGTAGTGATCGTCAACAACGAGTTCATCTTCGAAGCTGTCTAAATGAGTTTAGAAGCAGTTATCACGAGCAGAAGTCGATATTTATATACATTCAATGATACAGGTACAACGCGTACACGTGGATTCTGCATGCTCGATCCATCTGTTTCCACAAATTATAACAATATTAATAAGCCATTAAACAGAGAGGTCACATTTTTTCAAATTTCTCTATTTGCAGAAAGAATTAAATTTGTACCGATTGCAGAAATGTTCATGTGAACTATAAATGAATGTCATTAAATTTTTTAAAATAAAAATCACTTATTTTACTTTAAGTTGAACAAGTTCTTGGACCTCTTCCCAATCATTTACATATTTTATATTTAGAGGAATGTAATAATATCTCGTGATTTTCTCGTTTGATCGACACTACTGACCTATCCTCTGTTAGGACTTTTTCAAAGTCTGCATACATGAAATATTTCACGTAATTATTGACAAAGTTTTAAAAAAAAAACAATTTGCGATTTCTAATAGAATGGTACTTTATTACAATGAAAGTGAATATATAAACATTGAATCTCTTCCTATAAAGAACTTCTAACTTCTCTATTAAGTGTTGCAGTTTATGTAGAATAAATGAGAATAAGTCAGAAGTATTGTTTATCAGAACAATAGAGAGCGACAGAAGGGACATATGTTAAATATATATCTGGAATAAAGACAAACTTTTATATTTTTATTTCTGATTGGCATTTGCAATATTTTAAAAATTTTCTTTTTCCCTAAAAAAATTGTGTCTCTTTGTAACAATTAGTAATATAAAAATGACTTGTTAGTAAAATGCCGTAACAGATGGAGCCACGCACATCTTAACGTGCGTGGCTTCATCTGTTTTTAAATAGAGATTTTTTTATCATAATTCAACTAAATTAGTTGCTTTAATCTTTTGCTAGTATTTTAATTTTATATCGTTTTATAATTGAAAATTACAGAATGATTACAGCCATTTTTTTGAACGTTTCTTAATTTCTTTGTTATAATTCTGTGATTGATCTAATAAACAATTTTAGAGTAAAAGAATGGCCGTAGAGAGAGGAAATTGTTTCAGGTCAAGCTAACGGAAATATATTCGCTAAGATAATCTCAAAAAATATTTTGTTATTCCCACTGCATATAAATCTTGGATTAATAAAAACCTTCGTTATAGCACAGGTTAAACAAGGTTAGGCTTTTCAATATCTTAGATATTTTTCAAAACTAAGTGACGCTAAGATTAATANGGTATCAATCTATATATATTTATATATTCGAGACAAGTTCATAATAATACTATTAAACGCAGTGTCCAAACAGTCAAGAGTTTAAAGTTGAAATTTGGTACACAGTGTACGTCATGAGAATGTACAATAAAAAAAATTTTTGGACATTGTTTCTTGCGTGAAAAAGGGAGAGTGTGAACGATCTCCTCGAAAATCACGGCTTCTACTGTACTAATTTAGATACGGTTTTTTGCGTTTTCGCGAAAAATCAAACATATTTTTAGGCCCATGTATGAATTTATTAATTAGTCTCGAAAGAGAAAAGACCTAATTTCTGAATTCGGTGAAAACGGGTAATATTGCTATAATTCAATAATCTTAATCTTCGCTATCGTTACCTTTTCTCCCAGTAACTCCGAACTCATGTATTAGTTAATGTACAGTATATATTTAACACAGAGTCGCACTGGTGGCAGAATGTGAAATAAAAATGAATACAGAAATGTCATTAAATTTCTAAAAATAAAAATCACTTATTTTACTTTAAGTTAAGGTCATTGACGACTTCACGATCGTTTAGATATTTTATGTTTAGAGGCATGAAATAATATCTCTTGACTTTCTCGTTTGATCGACACCACTGACCTATCCTCTGTTAGCACTTTTTTGAAAGTCCGCAAACATCAAATATTTCACGAAATTATTGACAAAGATTCTTGAAAACAAATTAATTCGCGATTTCTAATCGAAATAGTACTTTATTATAATGAAAGTGAAGATTTAAACATTGAATCTCTTCCTCTAAAAAACTTCAAACTTTCCTATTAAGTATTGCAGCTTATGTAGAATAAGTGAGAATAAGTCAGAAGTATTGATTCATCAGAACAATAGAAAGCGAGAAAGGGGTCATATGTTAAATATATATCTGGAGTA